CCCCAAAACCCCAAAACCCCAAAACCCCGAATACTTGCGATTCTACGAATTTTTGAAGTATTAATCATTAGTTTCAAAGATAATAATCAAGAACTTTTAATAAAACTTTTCAGTGCAGTCAATTTTTTTAAATAAAACCTTGAAATTCGAAATAACAAAATAATCATTGTTAAGCAGATCACTTTCAATTAATTTTAATGATCTCAAATACATCATCTCTATTAGAAATCTAAATATCAATTAGAATTCGATGATGGATTCTTAAATTATCAATTTCTGATATCAATTCAAAAGCGATGGAGTGCTTCACACCACACTCGTAAGCCTATTGGATCTCATCAAACATAAAATAGAATTCCCCCTCTTTCTAAAGATCAATTTTTTAATAATTAATAGAAGCTAACTTTTGATCTAACACTCCAAATGATTTAGGAAGACTCTATTTGCCAATATTTTTAAGGCGGACTATCATGAGAGATTGATCATCACTTATAAGTATTTGCTTCTAGATTGTAAAGTTATATTTGGGGAACTTATATGTTTTAATTTCTCGATTTATAAGCGAGAGTCGTTCTTTATATACAGATATTAGTGATGTTTCAGCTTAATCATCCTATTCATCATCTTCATAGATAATATCTTCATCATCATTTTAGTCAGGATTTAACTCTTGATTATCATAAATATTCTGATGAACTTCATCTTCGCTAAAACCATTTGCTTAGTTTTCTTGAGATTCGTTCACGCCTTGACTATCATATTCTTCAGTTCCCATTTACTAGAACTGGGTCTCAATATTGTATTAATACTAGTAATTCCTATTTATATCAAGGATTTCTGTTTATTTCTTGCCTAGTATCTCTATTTATTCTCTCATCTTTTAATTTTCTTCAAGTATACTCTATAGATTTTCCTACTAAAGCGTCTACTAATCTTTAAAAAGATTTATCAGAGAATCTATTTTGCTTTCAATGTTATTTGATTGCTTTTCTAACTTAGTTTGATTTTCTTCGATCTGCTACAGCTTTTAAGTTGCATAGATAATGAAACTTTCCTATCCCAACTGTTTTTCAACATAAACAATAAGACTTCTGTATTTAATAAGATTTGCCAAATATTATTCTTCTTCAATTTTATTAAGATAGCCTAATCTATTGTCCCTTGTGCTGTATAAAATGATTTAACTGATATCTAAGTAATTTTTACCAAGGATCTCGGCTAGTTACTCAATAAAATTTTTTCTTGTTTTTAAATGAATCTTGCCAATGTCTTTTGAGATATGCCTCTCCTTACCTTATTCTAATTCTTCAGAGATTTATAAATTAATAAGAACTTCATCATCTTAGTTTTCTTATTCCCTTAAGTTTGGAGAATCCTGCACTTTTATCACAATCTCTTATATTTTCTAATCTAAGATCGCCTTTCTAAGCAATTCTCTTGAATTATCATCATATTTTATGAATTATTTTTCTTTGGAATCTGTGATTGAGTACTATAGAGTTAGCTATGACTCATGATATTTAATAGCAAATTTTTCTTTCATAGCGCTTAAAAGTGACTAGTATTATAGAACAATATCTCTGATTTACCATTCGCCTGTTTTCTCTTAATGATCTTGAGGATATTTTACTGGCAAGCATGATTTGTTTTAAATAATATAATTAAATAGCTTGCTCACTATTTCAATTTTAACAAATATAACTTTATCAAGTTCCTCCTCAAAGGAATGCAAGCTATTTATTTCCATTAGTTTCAAAATATTTTCTGAAATCATGAAAACCTCTGAATCTGCTTATGGTTTAATATCCTTAATATCTGATACTAAACATGAATCTGGATTGAATTTGAAAATTCTCAAAATATCCAATTTTTAATAAAAAGCTCTAGTAAAGTTATACTTGAGGTCGAAGTATGAAATTTGTACAGGTATAGTTTTCTGGCCATATATTTATTTGATGATGCAGTTTATTTAAACAGTGTTCTTCTATTTGCTCATTTATTTATTGCCTTGCGCTAAATTATTAGATAAATTTTTATTAAAAATATTTAATATTGCTAGACCTCATTATTCGAAATCTCAACATTAAGGGGTTTTGGGGTTTTGGGG